CCCTTCCTCAGAGCAGAGGCCCTCAAACATACATCCCAGAGGCATTATGCTGCCATTGACCATGATGGTAGCATGACCAGGAACAAATATGATGGCTACATTCAGGAGCAAAATGGCTAACAAGCTTATGAAATATTAAATTACAAATATAGTATTTAAAATATAAAATTAATTGCAAAGTTTTTTTATAATTATGCATAGGAAGGATCTAAGAGAATACATCAAAGTGAAAAAATAATTGTTTTAAGGTGGTGGAATTTGGATGAGTTTTTCTGTTTGTCTAGATTCTAAATTTTATATAGTATGGTTTTAAATAAATGTCTTATTTCAGAATAGTTTTAGATTTATGAGTTTAAAGAGTTCTTGCATACCCTGCACTTAGTTTCTCTTATTATTAACATCTTACATTAGGATGACGCTTTTGTCACAATTAAATGAGCCATCAATTAATGTGACTGTTAAAAGAAACAAACAAAAACAACCTTAGTTTTATAAAACAAAATAAACAACATAGAAGGAAATCTCATCCCTTCTGTAATTTCTAACTCTAATTAGCATCCTAATATTTACTATTTCCCTTATTTTTATTATTACTTTAGACTCTTCTTGGCATAGATTCTTGGCTATGAAATGGAACAAATTTTGTTTTTCCATCACTTGCCATATGCTTATGTATGTAATTAAAGTAGTTAATGCTGTACTGTTTGATAACAGCCACAGGAAATATCTTTTTTTTTTTTTAACATAAGCAAGAATCATGGGAACTGTTTAAACACAAGAACCATGCCCACATGCCAGAATCTAATTTTGTGTACACTGCCTCTCCAACGAGTCTTCCTCCTTCCTGGGGCCTCATCTTCCTATCCCCTCTCAACTTTTTTATTTCTAATATCCAGTCTAGATCTGGTTTCATAGCATATGCTCATTAAATACCACCTACAATAAACTGTAAGACTAAGATAGCTCTAGAAGATGGAGTACTGATTTTATTTTATTTTACTTTATTTTATTTTTGGACAGGCAGAGTGGACAGTGAGAGAGAGAGAGACAGAGAGAAAGGTCTTCCTTTGCCATTGGTTCACCCCCCAATGGCCGCGGCGGCTTGCACACTGAGGCCTGCGCACCGCGCTGATCCGAAGCCAGGAGCCAGGTGCTTCTCCTGGTCTCCCATGCAGGTGCAGGGCCGGAGCACCTGGGCCGTCCTCCACTGCACTCCCTGGCCACAGCAGAGAGCTGGCCTGGAAGAGGAGCAACCAGGACAGAATCCTGCGCCCCAACCAGGACTAGAACCTGGTGTGCCGGCGCCGCAGGCGGAGGATTAGCCTAATGAGCCGTGATGCCGGCCGAGTACTAATTTTAAATGACTAAAAGTAAAGGATTCTTTATAAAATTTTGTCTGAGTCACATTTTCATTTTTGATGTTAGGATACAACATTTTTCCTCTGCATCAAAGAATGGCAGCTGAAATTAAGCTGTGTAAGTGGAATTTAGTTTTGAAATTACAAAAATCGGCAGGCGCCGCGGCTCACTAGCTAATCCTCCACCTGAGGCGTCAGCACACCGGGTTCTAGTCCTGGTTGGGGCGCAGGATTCTGTCCCGGTTGCCCCTCTTCCAGGCCAGCTCTCTGCTGTGGCCCGGGAGTGCAGTGGTGGATGGCCCAGGTGCTCCGGCCCTGCACCCGCATCGGAAACCAGGAGGAAACACCTGGCTCCTGGCTTCGGATCAGCGCAGCGCTGGCTGTGGCGGCCACTTAGGCGATTGAACCAACAGAAAGAAGACCTTTCTCTCTGTCTCTCTAACTCTGCCTGTCGGGGGGAAAAAAAAGAAATTACAAAAATAACTAAAAAGACAAATAATATTCCAAAGAATATATTTACAGTTCGCTTTTAATGTTTGAACTGTAAAAAATGGATAAAGTGTCCCACGCCCTTTTTCTCGCTCTTTTAAACGGATCTTCCTTACTGAGTTTTCTTTGTTCTAAATGCCAAGTTAGTCTCAAAGAATCATTCTGGGTATCTACAGTTAGAACAAATCCTATAGATTATACAAAGAAATAGCCAACTGAAATTGCTAGCTTACAGTCCTATGTTTTCTAGAAATAGAAGACATTTTGTTCTAAAATAGAGCTTTAAAAATCTCAGGGCCAGCGCCTCGGCTCACTAGGCTAATCCTCCACCTTGCGGCGCCGGCACACGGGGTTCTAGTCCTGGTTGGGGCGCCGGATTCTGTCCCGGTTGCCCCTCTTCCAGGCCAGCTCTCTGCTGTGGCCAGAGAGTACAGTGGAGGATGGCCCAAGTCCTTGGGCCCTGCACCCCATGGGAGACCAGGATAAGTACCTGGCTCTTGCCATCAGTTCAGCGCAGTGTCACCTGCCTTTACCTGGCCAGCTCTCCTCCCAGGCCAGCTAAGTAATGGAAGTCAGCAGGGTGCCTTCCCTAAGGAGGTTCACACCCAGTGTGAACAGATGCCTCATAACTGGCAAGGCCTTAAAGCCACCTGATTATTATCAGGCCCCTTCTGTCAGGTTCAATTTGCCTCTCAATTGGAAAACTTATTCATGTTTAGACAGCAGCTTTTTTAGGTTCTCCAATAATGACTCTGCCCTTTGTTCTATACCTTATCTAGCTCACTTAGGGCCTCATTCCTTTGTAATCATAGCATCTACTCTAACATCAATGGCTCTACTCCCAACCTGTGTGTATTGATGGCCCTCTCTCCCACTTAATCTAGTATGATTGTTCAGAATTTTTCTAGACAAACCCCTCTACCTGCAAAAGATTAAGAGTGGCTTTTCTCCCGGTCTTAGTTGGGATCAGCTTTAAATCACGTCCATCAAACAGTCTTCACAAGGGTCCAGAGACCCCGTTCCCGCCCCTCCCCCCCAATTTCCTCTCCTCTATGAAATTCTCTCATTACTTGGTTAATACCACTTAGAATCATTGGCTGCTATTCTCACCCTGTCTTCTGTACTACCGCGTCTGTTTAAATATTTACCGGAGTTGATAATGGAATGAACCAAGGCCTTCACCAATCAGATGGTCAATCAAATGTTGCTACAGAAATATACTTGGCTCCCCACCCAGGAGACAGTGGCTTCAGACATCACCCCATGCCAGCAGAGAGCACCTCATTGCCCCATGTCAGCAGGAAGTAGCTCTAAAGACAGATCATTGTCCCTCTACACCTCCTGGACTTTTGGGGCTAATGTAATCCCATACAACTCTTGCTTTACAAAAAAAACAAAAGGGGGAATGTTATTAAAATGGCACAGTCTTATCTAAGTCATGATCTATGCCCTGGTCACTATTTTAGGCTCTAGCCCCCACCGCCATGGCTGGAAGCCAGGTGACCTCATGGCCCTACTACCAGTGTCAGCTCCCTAATGGAATTCAATGCTCCTGCTTCCCTGCCCACCCCCTGGCAAAGCTTTAAGAGGACCTGTTCCTGAACATGTGGCTCTCTTGATCTCTCTCCCTCTCTGTTTCTTGATCTCTCGCTCTGCCTTGCTCGTTCTCTCGTTCTCACTCTCTCTCTTGATCTCTCTCTTACGCTCTCCTCCCTCTTTGCCCTTTCCCTCCAGTCTGTCCAGTTTCCCCACCAATAAACCTTATCCCTTAAAAAAAATCTCAGGTAAGCTTTTCCCCCTTTTGTAGTTGATATTTCTACTTCCATCTTTTAGGACAGTTTTTACTTATAACAGCCAGCACTGTATCACCAAAATTGGGAAAAATGCTAAGCAGTGCCCTAACATATATTCTAAGCCCAATTTAAATGGCTCTGGACAATCCATAACACCAAATCAAACAAAAAAATTAACATTCGTTTATCTTCGTGGCAGTCTGTTTCATGTCACAAAAAATGTGAGAGGAAACTTTGTTAAAAAAAATTAAGGATGACAAGAAAGGAAAAACACGTGTTTTCAGTTTATTAAAATAGCTTCAATTTAGTCACTGCAGAAGTCAACCATCAGATTGCAATTTCAAGGATAATGGTGAGTATCATCAGAGCCACAGAGAGAGAATCTGATATTCAAGTCAATGACTGAATATGTGCCCACGCCTGCCCAAATGTAGTCACCACTGACATTTTTCAAGAGAGGTGTGCTTTATGATTAACTTGCTATTTCATCAATACTGTGTAATTCTGCTTTATTACAGAGGTGACTTGGCTCTCCAAAAATACCACTATTACAGATTTAGTACAGACTGATGTTTTTAAAATAAGACTAAACAAAACCTGTTAAAAACTCAGTGTGGTACAATAAATAGGTACAAACCAGCCTAACTTGAGGTAATACTTGCTTTTCTGAGACATTTAATGCTCAAAAAGCAGTTGAACAGATATAATATAGTATGCAGTTTTTCTAATGGGCTTTTAGTGAGTGAACAGAGGTAGATTGGATGACACAAGAAGTCAGTGAAGCATACAGTGATCCAGAGAAGCATCTGGAAGGCTGGACATCAAAAGATGAACAGGGTAATTACAGGTTCTGGGAGTACTTTTTTTTGTACAACCTGATCTTTAAAATAATAAAGCTTTTATAAACAGCACACAATAATTGCATTTGCTTTTTGGAATAACACAATAAAAACATGTTAAAGTTCAATTTCTGGTATCTGAAAAAAGCAAGATTTTACAAAACATGTAAGACTGTCAAGTTTCGCTATGTCAAACAGAAAGTCTCCTCTCCCATGTTTTAGCATCAAAAAACGAATTCCTGCTAATACCACATCAACCACACGTGAAAGAATGCAACTCTCCTTTTTAACTCACTAGCACTGATTTTCCATTCCGAGCCTACAGAGAAACATTTCCTTCAAACAATGAACTAAAGCTTATTAGAAGGATACTGGGATACTTACAAATCATTTTCAAATTTATTTTGTGATCTAGAAATCCTAAATTCTTTATTCTTTAAACCGTATAAGATTATTCATAAAAAAATTTTGGTGGATTATCATGGATCTAAGGGCTAAAAAATAGTTGAAATTATCCTTACCTGATGTTGCTCATCAGAATTTGGTGGGCAGTTCAAAGTAACTGTATCACACTCCTCAGCTAGAAAATGGAAAAAAAAAAAAAAGATGCAAAGTTTGATCAAGAAAGCACACTCTGGTGTCAGACCTAAAATTAAGGCTCACTACCAAGTGCTGCCTGGACATCCAGTAAAATCCGGAGGGCCCTGAATTGCTGAACTACTCTTCTGGGAAGATAAGGTCCTAGCTCAGCAATGCTCCTTGTTAATGGATTGGCACAAGTCCTGCTTATTTTTGAGTGTCAGGTTTCAGTTTCTGTAGAATTATTCAAACAAACCAATCATATCCAGTACTTGTTTGGGGAATCAAGGGGCACCCCGCCTACAGCCCCCAGCTACTCATTGTGTTCCCAAATGTAACCACCTATGGCTTGCATCACATGCACTGTCCTACGCTAGGATGTGAATGTATGTGCTGCACAAGCTGCTATTGATGTCATCTGCCCAGTCATTACCATAACCTTAGGGCGGGATTCCTCCCTCAACAACAGGCAAAGAGAAGGATATCAAAAACAATTGTCAGGGGAGGCATTTAGACTAGTGGTTAAGATGCAGGTTAGGATGCCTGCGTACCACATTGGAATGCCGGAATTCAATCTTCATCTCTGGCTCCTGATTCAGCTTCCTGATAATGCAGACGCTGAGAGGTAGCTCAAATAGTTGGGTTCCTGACACTTGTGGGAGACCTGGATTGAGTTCCCAGCACATGGATTCAATCTTCTGGCCACCGCAGGTATTTAGGGAGTGAACCAGAATACGGAAGCTCTCTTTGTTTCTACTTATCTGTCTCTCTCTCTCTGCCTCTCAAATAAATAAATATTCTTTTAAAAATAGCATAATAGGAGCAGATGTTTGGCATAGGGATTAAGACATCACTTGGGAAACTCACATTTAATATTGGAGTGCCTGGGTTTGAGCCCCAGCTCTGCTTCTGATTCCAGCTTCCTGTTAATGCGTACCCTGGGAGACAGCAAAGGATGGCTACAGTACTTTGCTCCCTGCCACCCATGTGGGAGACCCAGATTGAGCTCCTGACTCCTGGATTCAGCCTGGCCCTGTCCCAGCTGTTGCAGGCATTTTGAGAAATGAACCAGGAGAAGGAGGATCTCTCTCTCTCTCTCTCTCTCTCTCTGCCTTTCAAATAAATAACATAAATGATTTTTTTTAAAGATTTATTTATTTACTTGAAAGTCAGAGTTACACAGTTAGAAGGAGAGGCAGAGAGAGGGAGAGAGGGAGGGGACAGAGAGGGAGAGAAGGAGAGAGAAAGAGAGAGAGAGAGAGAGAGAGAGAGAGAGTCTTCCATCCAGTGGTTCACTCCTCAATTGGCTACAACAGGCAGAGCTGCGCCGATCTGAAGCCAGGAGCCAGGATCTTCTTCCGAGTCTCCCACATGGGTACAGAGGCCCAAGGACTTAGATCATCTTCCACTGCTTTCCGAAGCCATAGCAGAGAGCTGGATCGGAAGTGGAGCAACCGGGTCTCGAACCGGCACCCATATAGGATGCCAGCACTGCAGGAGGCAGCTTTACCCATTATGCCACAGCACTGGCCCCATAAATGATTTTTTTAAACTGGCTTAACGAAGAGGATTGCCTAACCACAATCAAGGACATTTAGTCAGATTAAATTCACTGTTTTTGGCTAACCAACCAGCCCAGACACTCTCTCCATCTCTGCCTAAGAAAGAGAGAGAGAGAGAGAGAGAGAGAGAGAGAGGGAGGGAGGAAGGAAGGAAGGAAGGAAGGAAGGAAGGAAGGAAGGAAGGAAGGAGGCTCAACAACAGAATTAGCCCCCTGGAATCCCTAAAACCACGGAGGAGCTGGCAGAGATGGAAGCTTTGCATTTGCATCCAAGAAGAAAGCAGGTGTAAAAATAAAACAAATGTTGATCACTAAAATTACACTAGATTTCTGCAGCTGATTTATGGAAAAACTGCATTATTCAAAACCCACTGAAGTTTGGCCTGAGTTACAGAATAGCTTTATATAGTACATGAGTAAAGTAGAAATATACTAGCAATATAATGAAGATTTTGTGAAACAAGATTAAGAAAATAAATTTTGGGGCTGGCTTTCTGGAGTAACAGGTAAAGCCGCTGCCTGCAAATGCTGACATCCCATATGGGTGTCAGTTCAAGTCTCAGCTGCTCTCCTTCCAATCCAGCTCCCTGCTAATGATCTGAGAGAAGCAGCAGAAGATAGCCCAAGGGTTTGGGCCCCTTTCATACATGTGGGAGACCTGGAAGAAGCTCCTGATTCCTGGCTTTGGCCTGGCCCAGTCCTAGCCATTGTAGCCATTTGAAGAGTGAATCAGTGAATGGAGGATCTCTCCCTGCATATCTTCCCCTCTCTCTCTCTGTAACTCTGCCTTTCCAAATTAATTATAGAAATCTGTTAAAAATGTATTTGTTAAAAATTTATTTATTTTTCAAAATATTTATTTAATTTGCAAGGCAGATTTACAGAGAAAGAGAGAGAAACAGAGGTATTCCATTCCCTGGTTTACCCCCGAAATGGCCACAATGGCCAGGGCTGGGCCAAGCGAAAGCCAAAAGCCTGGAACTCCATCTTGGCCTCCTTTGTAGGCAGCAGGGGTCCAAGGAAGTGTATTAGCAAGACACTGGATCAGAAGTGAATGAGCCGGGACTTGAACTGCTATTCTGATGTGGGATGCTGGTGTCGCAGGCAGCAGCTTAACCAGTCAGCTACAAGAAAATAAATTTTGAAGACTATTTACAGAAGGAAATCATTAAAGCCAATCACAAGTGATTCCTCTTTTTTTTTTTTTTTTTCCAATTTGACAGGTAGAGTTACAGACAGTGAGAGAGACAGATAGAAAGGTCTTCCTTCTGTTGGTTCATCCCCTAGATGGCTGCTACGGCCCGGCGCTGCGCCAATCCGAAGCCAGGAGCCAGGTGCTTCCTCCTGGTCTCCCCTGCGGGTGCAGGGGCCCAAGCACTCGGGCCATCCTTCACTGCCCTCCCAGGCCACAGCGGAGAGCTGGACTGGAAGAGGAGCAACTGGGACTAGAATCCGGCGCCCATATGGGATGCCAGCACTGCAGGTGGAGGATTAACCAAGTGAGCCACAGCGCCGACCCCACAAGTGATTCCTCTAAAATAAAGTAGGTTCCTCTGAAACTCATATGAATGAGAGACTCCTGGTTTGTATTTAATGTAAGTAGATTGCATTTACTTTTGAGTCTACAAATTATTTCCTTATTAATCTATATGGATTTTCTTCCCCTAAAAACAACTTTAATAAGTGGTAAAATGAGTATAAACATCTAATGATTTGATTTGCTCTATTAGTGATGCTAAAGAAAAATATTAGCAGTCATTAAATTGTTATTTACTGAATGCAAATATTGGAGTAGTCTTTAAACTCCTGGTCATGGATTATTTACAAGCAAAATGATGTATTAATCTTCAGTTAAGAAATTATGTACTTAGTAATACTGTCTACCATGAATAAGGACAAAGGAGGGACCTAGGGTATGGTTTTCACAGTCATGCTGTTTATAAACTCATTGCACATTTAAAGTTTCATAAAGAACAAATTCTAGGAGAAACCCATTGTACGGTTACTGTAGTATCAGGTTGCTAAGCAACAATCTTTTTTCTTTCAAAACAGGAAATCACATTTAAGGGTGATAAAAGGAAGACCTTGAGAGACTGCACCATGACTGCACTTGCCAGGGTCATTGCAGTGTGGTCTTTCCTAAGACCCTTGCAACTTCTGCCACTCTACTTGAAAGCTTTTGACACCCCCCTAACCCTGATTTTTTACAATCTTTGGCCAAGTCTCTGTCCACCTGTGTGGTTGCTCACGTGTGCCAGGCATTGTCCTAGGTTCATTTTGCTGAATTCTCACTAGCACCTGAAAGGCGGATGCTAACTTTGCCCTCCCCACTGCCCAGATGGGAAATGGAGAACCTGAGATCTACAGTCACCTGCTGAGGCCACTTGGCTGTTGGGCTACAGTTTAGTTTTCTCTTCTATATTCCTTGAAGCTTCTTTGTTTTTAATGATTCACTTATTTATTTGAAAGGCAGAGATAGAGAGAGATGGAGATAGAGAGAGAGACAAAAAGAGAGAGAGAGAGATCTTCCAACTGCTCGTTCACTCCCCAAATGGCCGCAATGGCTGGGGCTGGGCCAGGCCAAAGCCAGGAGCCAGGAGTTTCTTTCTGGTCCTCCCACATGGGTGCAGGAGCCCAAGTACTTGGGCAAACCTCTGCTGCTTTCCCAGGTGCATTAGCAGGGAGCTAGATCAGAAGTGGAGCATCTGGGACTCAAACTGGCACTGATATGGAATGCTGGCATGGCAGGCAGTGGCTTAACCTTCAACGCCATAGCACCAGTCCCTCCTCGAAGCTTCTGAAGCAGGATCTCACATTGAGGTTGCATGCCAACCACAAAGATATGAGTTAAAATGCTCATTTCTGGGCTCTGTCCCAGATCCACCAAATCATAATTCTGGGGGCAGTGGGGCCCAGATCTGAATTTTAAACAAGATCTCCAAACCTTAAATGCCCATCTTTTTAAGCAGATTTGTGTCAGGTTTTTCTCATTTGCAACCCAGAGCCCTGCCTACCTTTATTTTATGCCTGTTAAAAATACCATAGGAATAGAACATATAATTTGCTATGAAACAACAAAAAATTTACAGATTTAATATGAACATTCATTTCTGAGATAATCCCATGACAAGTCATGAGCTAAACGATCAGTATGTTTCTTTCACAATTTTACATATGAAAAATTACTTTGAGTAGTGCTTTGAAAAATTAAAATAATCACAAGTTCAAGTAGTTATATTAACTCTACATACCTTTAGGGAGTCCCGTATCTTGAATAGGATATTTGTCTGACTGTGGAAACCAACAAAAAAGGAGAGTTAATTTTAATGCCAAAGCCAATTACAAGATCAAAGTGAAAAGAAAGCTTTGCCTTAGGAAAGTTCATGAATTCAATTTAAAACGTTGGAAATATGTAACCTGGGGCATATCAACTGGCCTAGCCCACTGATTGTTTCTATTCTCAATTGATAAGAGTGAATCAAGGTGGACAAGAAGCTAATGTTGAGCCTGAACAAAAATAAGCCTCCCTGACTTCCTTAGCTCTGACCACTAAACCACACTTCCTCTCTTGGCTGCAATGCTATTCTCCTATGGTTTAAAGCTGAGGATCACTTCTTTTCATGAATTTTGGGGGTAGACACATTTCTTCTCATTATTTCTGGAAAGTCACTGGGGCCAATGAGTGTGTATTCTGGGCAATACCCAACTACTACAGAGTTCTGTCATGGGTTGTATAGGACAAGATTCAAAAGATAAGTGTACTACTGACTCACAAAGACCTAAAAATCAGGTGGTAATAATGTACAATTCCTTAATGTGTTAGTTGAGCATGGTACTATTATAGGAAATTAAAAATAACAAAAGCTTTTACAATCCTATATTTGCTAATTTGTTCATATTTATATGTAGGTATCCAATGTTCTGAAAACATATTTCAGAGTAAACACTGCAGACACTCCCTGAAGGCTTCCATTTCAGGAGTGAGAATGTGCCCAATTGCCCTCTCTTGTACCCCAAGCCCTACTCAGCTCCCACTCTCTATTCCACCCTGCCCTCCAGCCTCAACAAAGTTACACCTTCCAAATTTCCTATAGGTCTCATCCATGTCTTTCTTTGACAAATAAGGAAAATAAACAAAAGTGGAAACAAGGCATCTGTTTCAAATGCCTTTCCTTGGTGATTCTTTGGAGGTGGGCAGTTAAGGTTGAGAACTTCTCTATCCTGCAAAATAAGTGCCTAAATAAGAATTAATTAATCAATCAATTACAAGGGCCATTGCTGTGGTGCTGTGAGCTAAGCTAGCTTCTGCAATGCTGGCATCCCATGTCGGAGTGCCAGTTTGTGTCCCACCTGCTCCACTTCCTTTTTTTTGACAGGCAGAGTTAGACAGTGAGAGAGAGAGAGACAGATAGAGAGAAAGGTCTTCCTTCCGTTGGTTCACCCAACGGATGGCCGCTACGGCCAGCACGCTGCGCCGATCCAAAGCCAGGAGCCAGGTGCTTCCTCCTGGTCTCCCATGCGGGTGCAGGGCCCAAGCACTTGGGCCATCCTTCACTGCCTTCCCGGGCCACAGCAGAGAGCTGGACTGGAAGAGGAGCAACCGGGACAGAATCCAGTGCCCCGACCAGGACTAGAACCCAGGGTGCTGGTGCTGCAGGCAGAAGATTAGCCTAGTGAGCCGAGGTGCAGGCTTGCTCCACTTCCAATCCAACTTCCACTTCCAATCCAACTCCCTGCTAATGTGCCTGTGAAAGTAGCAGAGGATGGCCAAAATACTTGCATCCATGTGGGAAACCCAAATGGAGTTCCTGGTCCTTGGCTTCAGCCTGGACCAGCCCTGACAGTTGCAGTCATTTCAGGAATGAACCAGCAAAGGGAGATCTCTCTCTGTCCCCCTCCCTCTCTCTTTCTGTCACTCTCCCCTTCAAATAAATAAGTCTTTTAAAAATAAATACATCACATAAAACTTACAAGACAAACAGTTTTACTCCAGATTGAATTCTCAAGACTTCCTAGAGCATGGAACACACATACACTGGTACAACAGCACCTATCATTGTTTTTTAAAGTACTTGTCTATTTCCTCAAACAGATTGTGAGTTCCTCCAGAGAATGGAGTATGGTCTTTGCATCTGCATATTTTCAGTGGTGTTAAGTAAACATTTACTGAAAGTCTGCATAGTTGAACACATATGCTGGAGCAAGAGCAGGTCTCCAAGAGAAACTGTCACTTGAATGAGGCCCAGAGGATGCACAGGACTTGGGTGAACCCAGAGCAAGGAGCAAGATCACTGCAGATGGTGGACACAGCAAGAGCATGTGGAAGAGTGGTGGGGACAGAAGACCTATCAGCCTAAACAGAGATGTCTGTTGGAGGTGGACAGAGGAAGACAGGGTTGGATATGAAATGATGGAATCAATTTCCAAGAAGAACCATGAAAGCTAAGCCAAAGGGATTTAGGTGGGGAACCATCCTAGGTTCTCAGGGAGCTTGGTTCATCACTCATCTATTGCTACCTGCCTTGTGGCCAACTCTGCTTATGGCAGGATAGTCAAAACAGGCTTGCAGGAAGTCCAACAAGCAAGCAAACAATTACAATGCAGTGTGATAACAAGAAGTGATTAGGCTACAAAGAAGGGAGCACCTGAAGGCCCAAGGCAAAGAAGGCTTCTCAGATCAGAGAACACAGGAACTGAGATGAGAGAGTGTGAAGGAGTTCATTAGATGAGGAAGTATGAAGCATTTTCCTTGCAGAAGGGAACAGCACTATCTGTATCCTAGGAAAGTGAGAGGGTGTGGAGCATTTAAAGAATGGCAAATAGCTACACATGATCGGCTCATGAGGTGAGTGGTGAGAGACGCTCATGGAAGACCATGTCTTCTGCCATGTCAAGGAATATATACTTAATCCTGAAACATATGGGAATGTTTTGGGTTGAATTCTATCCTCCCAAAAAGATATGTGGCAGGCCCACCCCTCAGTATCTCAGAACGTGACTTTATTTGGAAACTTAGTTTTGACAGAAGTAATTAGTTAAGATAAGGTCATGCTGGAGTAGGGTGAGCCCATAAGCTCACCTTACTGGTGACCCAAGAGGAGGGATACAGACCCACAGGAAGAAAATAGTCACTTGTCAACAAACTGAGTGAATGGAGTAGTGCAAAGCAAAATAGCAAGGTTTATTAGGGTAGGGACATCCCATAAGAACAGATGGGCACCTCTCCAGACAGAACCTGAGAGAGTGCCCAGTCACTCAGACTGGGGAAGAGCGAGGTTACATGGTTGAGTGGAGAAAGTATACCTGGCCAGGCCAGGCAGGCGGCTCAGAAGAGAGGCAGAGGGCTAAGCACACAGTCTGGTTAAGTGGGGGTATTAAGGGGATGGGCCTTGCCTTCCCATCTCTTCTCCTCCTGGAACAAAGGACTTTTTGGATGTAAATATGAAAAATTCCTTTCTGAGTTTTCCCCTGAAGTTATCAGACAGGGGGAAGCCTGGCTGGTGTCACCCCACCTTAGAGGAGCCTTAGAGGAAGGATGGTTATTGGGTAGAAGGGGCAGGGCGTCTGAAGTGCAGATACTGGGCTGCACCTGGAAGGTTATCAGGATGACTTTGAGATGAGGATGCTGGACCCAGATGTCAACTCCTTAGGCCTTTGTCACACACACATAAGCTCATTTCTGACTTCCTACCTAACACAGGATGACATGAAGCCACCAGCAGAAGCATGGAAGAATTCTTCCTTACAGGTTTCAAGGGAACAGTCTTGCCAACCTTGATTTGGACTTCAGGCTCCCAGAACTGTAAAGAGAATACACCTCTGATGCTTTCAGCTCCAAGTCTGTGACATTGTGTTATGATAGCCCTAAGAAATCAATACCAGGGAAGCTTTGAGAAGATCACTCTGCTCCCAACATGGAGTGCCCAGAGGTCATCACAACCCAAAGTGAGTGATAAGGATAATGGCTCCGAGGGACAGAGAACCTCATGTCAGGAAGTAACGGGGAAAACTGGGAGTTACAGATAATCACAGGTGTAGGCGGTGGGAAGGGAAAAAAGAGGGGAGACTGCGTGTCACTTAAAAGAAACCAAAGGCTCTACTAACAGATGACACCTGACTACAGGGTTGTCCTACATAAGAGAAAGAAAACTTTTCCTTATTAATTTGTACCATCTGTCAAAGCTTGACCCCCTGCACCATACACATCTACAGAACTGTGCAGCAATCACTAAAGGACAGGAAAACAAACATCTTAGGTCCTCTAGATGCACAAGATTGAAAGACATTTCATTAATTAACTGTATTTTATATCACTATAACTAAATTAGCTACTCAAGAACTTCTTACAACTCAGCAGATCCTGTCCTCCAAACACCTGGAATGAAAGTCATATGTCTGACACAGTATGCTTAGGAACACTGGCAATGCTGTCAGAGGTCACAGACGTGGTCCTAAGCAACAGCCGGACACTACTGTGTAGGAAACCAGGCCTTCAGCTATATGACTGTATACAAACCAGTGAAATATTTCCTTATCACTACAGATGGAATAAAAATGCCTGCTCCACTATCTTATAAGATATTTTAAGGAAGAAAACAATTTATGTGAAACCTTTAGTAGACCTTAAAACAGTAAACATGCCTTAGAGTGGCTAGGGGACAGGTGGGGTAGGGTGGGGGCTCAGAAGCCAGCTGCTGGGATTAAACCAGATAACAGAGGTAAACCAGATAATGTGTTCCTATCAACACACAGGCAGCGCTCAGTTTCCACAAACTGGTCCTACTTTCTTCCTTCCACCTCACATTAGATATTCTCAATTCTGAAGAAGGGGTAATGAAAATTGGACCGATAGTATTAAAAACAGGGAAGTAGACGAAGACCTCATAAAAATCACAGAAGGATCATTTCTGGTTTGGTCAAAACAAGAACAGAATCTGACACTGTTTTGAGCCCGGTGAAACCTCAGTTTATTATATCACAGAATATCATGATAAGGAAGTGTACCTTAGTAAAATCTTATAGTGTGTTTGTTGGACCTCATGTAAATACTAAAGAATAAGAAACGTAAAGAAATCACAAAGGCAAAAAAAAAAAAGCAAACCAAGAGCCATTAGCATAGAATTTACCACCTACCATGTTAAAGGATAAAGTGCTAGGGTCTGTATCTTCCACTGGCTCCTTTGCCATGTGATCTGTTAAAAAAAAAAAAAAAAGGATTTCCTTTAATTTGAAAACACAAATGAGTCCTCTGATAACTTTCATAAAGATACAACAAGCTTAATCAGGTCAGAGAAAAGGTTACTTCCAATAAATAGTACAGAAAAAGAAGGAAGAGTGGGTTCAGATCACACTGAGAAAGAAATGAAGAAAAATAAACTTTAAAAAAAACCACAGGTGGCCGGCACCGCGGCTCACTAGGCTAATCCTCCGCCTAGCGGCGCCGGCACACGGGGTTCTAGTCCCGGTTGGGGCGCCGGATTCTGTCCCAGTTGCCCCTCTTCCAGGCCAGCTCTCTGCTGTGGCCCGGAAGTGCAGTGGAGGATGGCCCAAGTGCTTGGGCCCTGCACCCCATGGGAGACCAGGAGAAGCACCTGGCTCCTGGCTCCTGCCACCGGATCAGCGCAGCGCGCCGGCCTCGGCGGCCATTGGAGGGTGAACCAACGGCAAAGGAAGACCTTTCTCTCTGTCTCTCTCTCACTGTCCACTCTGCCTGTCAAAACAAACAAACAAACAAACAAACAAAAAAAACCACAGGTGTTGTGTGTGTGGGGGGGGGGGTTGTTACTGCGGCATAGCAGGTCAAACTTGTGAAGCCAGCATCCCATATGGGTTTAAGTCGCAGCTGCTCCACTTCCAGATTCCCGCTCCCTGTTAATTGATTGGGAAAGCAGTGGCATTCAGCCCAAGTGCTTGGGCTCCTACACCCACATGGGAGATCTGGAAGAAGCTCCAGGCTCCTAGCTTCAGCCTGGCCCAGCCCTAGCCATTGTGGCATTTGGGGAGTGAGCTAGTAGGTGGATGGAAGACATCTCTCAAAGAAATAAAAAATAAATCTTAAAAAAAAAAAAAAAAAAAACACTGGAGAGGGAAGTACGATTATCTTCTTAGAATTTTCATACATGAAGTCTGTTCTCTTTATATTAATTAAAAAAATTTTTAAATACCAATATTATTAAAACTCTAGCAAGGTCTGCAAAAACCACAAAAGAAAACAAAACAAAAACACTGGGAGCTGACATTGTGGTACAGTAAGTTAAGCCACTGCCTGCAATGCCAGCATCCCATATTAGTACTGGTTCAAGTCTCTGGTGCTCCACTTCCAATCCAGCTCCCTGCTGATGCACATGGGAAAGCAGAGGATGGCCCAAGTGCTTGGGCTCCTGTACCCTAGTGGGAGACCCAAATGCAGTTGCAGTCCCCTGGCTTCAGCCCAGCCCAGCCCACCAGCCCTGACTGTTGTGGCCATTTCAGGAAATAAACCAGAGGACTGAAGATCTCTGTCTCTCTTCCTCTCTATTTCTGTAGCTGTGCTTTTAGAATAAATAAATCTTTTTAAAAAACAAAAACCACCATATTTTTGACCAGGTTACTTATAAATAATACAAATATTTAGTTACAAGCAGCCATAAATTATGAGATATGATATTAATGGCTCATTACATACTGGACTTGATATTATTTGGGGCAGGAAAGATTTCATTCTAAATTTAGTTTCTTTCCTACTTTTCTGTTTTTATCACTTTAAAATATTAAGTTTCTCAATATGGTTCACGTGAACTAACAAAGTCAAAAATACCTCACAGTATTTTTATCAAATAAAAATTTATATTCAATTCTTAATTCTTCTTATGCTTTCCCAATTGTTGCATGTAAGAAGCTGAATGAGGAAATATAGAAAAATGTGCAGATCTCAGTCAGGACCACTACTAGATCACAGGAATTTATACAAACTAGAAAACAGCTCCCCCTCTCCAAGATACTTCACAAGGCATCAGCCAGAAAACTGTCTTAATAAAATAATCAAAACAATTTGAGTGGCATCTTTTAGATTTGTACAGTGCACAATCTGAAAAACCCTAATTGGTAAATGTGAACCAGCTAAGACTAAACATACACCTTTTATCCAAAGTCCTCATTAAGCACATCCGGTGGGGTAGCCACAAGGTCCTAGGAATGCCTTTGGGGAATCCAAATTTTACTGAGATAATAATTTGCATTTGTTCTCTCTAGATATTTCCTGACTGAGACCATATACGGGCTTCCTTTTTTATTTTTTCTTGACATGTGTTAATACTGCCTGAAGAATAAGCTGCAACTCCTCCCATGGAGCAAGAGACTTCTGCAGCTCCTGGGAGAAAAGCCTGTGTCCTGGTCTCTGGCAGAGAACAAAGATAGCAAGACCACATCAGAGAAAACATTGAGCCTGTTTAACTTCTGGATACACACAAAACTAAGTGCCAATGGTCTCAAGGAATTTCTCAGGCTTGAATGATGAGGACAGCAATGCCTACCTCATGTACTAAAAATTCAAGGTTTTTCCAAGAACCACATTGACATCTTGGGTTTCTCTATGACTTTGGAGGGAGCAGGACTCCAAATCTGATGAAATCGAATTTCTTGCTAGGCCAGTTAAACACAGACTCAGATCAGGAATTAAAGTGATGTCAAGAAAATGAAAAACAATTTGAGGGGCTAACTCCAACCTGAGTTTGCACAACTCCTGCTCCCTAAAGTTGCAATTTGATACAAAGAGCATGGTGTGATTAGAGTGGAAGTGCAGAACCAGCCAGGTGTGCACTCAGGAAAAAACAGGAGGGGAAGAGAACAGCCTGCAGAGCAACTGAAGTCTCAGCCAGGAGGAGGAGCCAGGGAGGGAAAGCATTCTGGACATAAGGAGAAGTTTGCTAGGCAAAGATCTAGACACATTGGTGAGCATCAAATGGAGCATGACAATCGGTCCTTCGCAGATTATGGTTTCTGGCTGGGGTGGGAGTGGCAGAAGCCACCAACCAAGTAGTCTCAAGTCCCTTTTTTCCTCCTCTTATCACAACCTGTACTACAACCCTGTACTACATCTTGTCTGGGTTCAAGTCCTGGCTCCACTTCCAATGCCAACTTTCTGCTAACATGCACCTTGGGAGGCAGCAGGTGATGGCCCAAGTAGTTGGATCCCTGCTACCCATGTGGGAGACCCAGATGGAGTTCTTGGCTTATGGCTTCTACCTGGTCCAGCCCCAGCTGTGGTGGGCTTTCGGGAATGAATTAGCAATCAAACATATATTTTCTTCTCTCTGCCTTTCTAATTAATGAAAAATGTTATCCTAAGGGGGATGTAGAATTTTATCAGGTGTCAACACAATAGAATTTCAGGTCAATGGTCTGTGAAGGATTGGGCATGGGGAGTGGGGAGATGACCCTGGCAGATCATAAGCAGCCACTGGATCCACAAATTAGTCTTGTTTCCTACAGAAAATTGGCATGACAGGAAGAAAAATGAAAAAACACATAAAGGTTGAGGAAACTAGATGAGACTGCTGAGAATCACACCAAAAGCAGCAGTGAGTAGGCAAACAGGACAGGTCAAAGGAAGGAACAATGGTCACAGGTCCAGAGGCCAGGGGCCTCACTTGCATAACACTGAGAGCTAGGGGCTGACCTTGAACAAGACTAGTGCTGTGACCCTGGGCCAGCATAATGTATCCCTGGAGGAGTCCAACAGTATGACCTTCACATGGGTCTAGCACTGTGACCTTGGATGAGTCTTGGAAGCTTTCTAAGCTTCAGGATTTTCCTCTGCAACAAGAGAGGCCATAGCATCTGGTTCTCGCACTTAGCTGATAACCATTATTCTGGTCAGGCCAGGTTTGGGAACCACCAGAGTGGCTGAGCTTCTACTCCCACTAGAATCTGACCAAGTACTGTGATATAACTGACCATGTCTCAGAAGGTTATAAGGCAAACAAGAAGATGCAGGCAGAAGACAGCAAGGGATTGGAAGCACAAAGTCTTTCACTTTGGTCTGACATCTCTCAGAATAAATGGAATTTAAGAAGGGAAGAGGAATCAGTGTTGTGGCAAAGCAGGTTAAGCTGCTGTTTGTAATGCTGGCATCCCATATGGACACAGGTTCAAGTCCCAGCTGCTCCACTTCTGATCCAGCTCCGTGCTACATGCCTGGGAAAGCAGCAGAGGATGGCCCAAGTGCTTGGGCTCCTACCACCAACATGGGAGACTCAGTCCTGGATGAAGTTCAGGCTCTGGGCTTCAGTCTGGTCCAATCCCAGCCCTTGAGGAATGAACCAGCAGATGAAAGATCTCTCTCTGTCTCTCCTTTCTCTGTAACTCTGCCTTTCAAATAAATAGCTCTTTAAGAAAAGGCAGGGTGGTAGGGGCAGAACAGGTAAAATTTAGGGTTTTAGTTTTCTTAAGTGTGACAATGAGGTGAGAGGAGACTTGGGGAAAGCATCACATTTATAAATAGTATTGGAGGCATTTTCAGATCCTCTATTATTTTATTCTAGTGGTTCTAACTGTATCAGTCTTTCTTGTATATCAGACTGAGAATTAAATTCTTATGGATGGTGGTATTGCCAAATGTGCTCACAGTCTCAGCCCACAGGGGTGCCCTATGTGCTGTATCTGAGTCTGTGCCCTCTTCCTGGCAGCTGTTTTAAGCTGTTTCGTCAAAGCAAAAGGACTTTTGTTCTCACAGGCCCAGATTGTTCTGTGCCAAGGAAATTATTTGCAGGAGAGCTGCTCCTGGTTACTTGTGACTGATTGGGAAACACAGTTGTCCTAAAGTCTTTCTTAAGAGCCCTTGGGGCTGCATGTTTACAATACTATTAAACACAACACCAAATAGTTTATATAGAAGGTTGGGAATGTTTGTTTTCACAAGCCCCAGGTAGCAGCTCTGATAACACATAAGACATGGTGCACAGAGGGGCCTGAAACAGAAAAGGGGACCATATGGGCCCCAAAGAAGCAAGACCAAAAGCTCTACCGGAGCCCCATGTGGAACCACGCCCCTGCTCCTGGCTGTCATTCCTTTGTCTCAGGCCCAGTTTCTCTCCTGAAGCCACCTGGACTCCGCTAGATCACTTATTCTAAACAAGGCTCAAATTGCCCCAAATTAGCTGGCAAATGATTGATACAGAGCTCTCTGATAGCAATAAGAATGGTGTTTCATACT